CACTCCTTTTGGTTCAGATCTGGTTCAGTTTATGGTTCAAGATTGATCCATGAAAATATGATTTTCTAAATGGGGAATACGATTCCCAGTTGAAGGGAGAGATAAAATTTTTGAAATTCGCCCCTTATTCCGCAATCTTTGGGCGTCCATAGTGTCAAGCCACCCCAACCAACTTGGCAGCACATTAGCGTCAACCTTGGCAGGATAAATCTCCCCAAATTTATCCAATGGCTGTGAAGATTATAAACTAACACAAGTCTCATAAGTGTCCAATTTAAGGGTATTACATAGAAACACACCATAGTAACATGAATCAATTGTGCACTTTATTCATTTACAATAAATGACAATAAGTACATTAATCTGATTGGTGCTAAGGGAATACATTGTCTAACAGTCCGACCAAGTAGTTGAGAGAGCAATGCTAATCTGAGCAGAGTAATACCAGGGGTGTTGGAAAGTCAAAAGTCAGATATCTTATCTTGAGTGGGAGTTACCTTTTTATAGCTGAAGATCTGTGTCCTGGTCGGATGAGGCTTTCGAGGTTGTTGGGATGAGGTTGTCTGTCGAGGTCTTCGGGATAAGGCCTGATCCCTAGCGGAGCTGTCCTCCTTAGTTGATCAGTTGATCTACCATTGCCGCTAATGCTCCTTGTCGTCCATGCCAAGTCGTCGACAACAACCACATCTTAGACAAAAACGACCACAATGTGGGCATCGATCTTTGCTGAAAAGCTACTAATAATACTAAACTTTGTGAAGAATGTTGCAACAGCAAAGGTTTCTCCAACTTGTTTGTTCACCATTTTGCCTGTGCAAAGATATTAGCACTAAACTTTGTGAAGGAAAGTTGTAGTAGCAAGATTTCTCAACTTCGGTTGCCATTTTGGCTCTTCAAAGAATACATAGAAGAGAAATATAGAACAAGGCAATGATGAGAGTTAGGGACTTTCGATCTTGGGTTTAGAGTTGGATTTTCAAATGAGAAAGGAGATTTCTTGGAGAGTTTGTTGATATTTTGGGGAAGGGGATTTGTTGGAGGATGCCCTAGATTTTTGAATGGGAGAGAAGATTTGTTGGAATGTGTGTAGGCTAGAATGGTTTTACCTTTATACCCTTAAACTATTAAAGAAACATAGATACAATGGGGTTATGCATGTAAATTTTTATAATATATTAACATATGTAATTACAATCAGTTCGAATATATATCAGATCGAATCAAATCAAATTTGAATTCGATCCGATTAAATAACTAGTATGAAAATTAAATTGAAATTCGACTATTTATTTGATTCGAATATTCGAATTCGATTCGTTTAAGTCAAATCTCGAATTCGGAATCAAATTTCCGGATACTATTTACATGCTAGTTGTAAGGAGACTGAATCTGCTCCTTACACAGGGTGGCGCCTCACATCGACCTCACACGCACATCCTACCATGCATTGGGAACATCTCCCGTACTTATAAGTTATTATTCAGGGGAGAAGTTCCCAATGCACGGTGGATGTGCCTGTGAGGCGCCCATGTGTGAGGAGCAGATCCCGTTCCAGTTGTAAGTATATTTTTTTGGGCTGTTTCCTTCGGCCTCTTTTGATAGCTTTTATGGGGAGCGCCTTAAAACATCTACCAGCTAAACAGGCACGAGCACGCGGCAGAGATAGGGAGTCGTGTAGAAGTGACCGCACTCACGATGACTCACGAGTCATTAACAATCGATAATGGGCCATGGCTTGTAGCGGCGAAGTCTAGAGCCTACGCCTCGTCCTCGGTTCCTCGCTTCTCTCAAGTCATATATATGTCAGTATTTGGATATTGGCTCCAAGTGTTTGTCAAAATACCTGAAACACATAACTATAGAACTTTACAGGAAATTCTTTAGGATTTCTTGATCCTCGAGCGAAAAGAAAACGCCATGAAATCATTGAAATATGGAGCGGGGAAGAATAAGGGAGTGAGCAATCACATGCTTACTCTCCATCAACGTCTCCTTCACGCTCTCAACCTTGGAATCAAGTAATTATCTCTTGAACCTTTGTGTTCTTTACAGTTCCTTTTCTCTGAATTTTTTTTCTTCTTTTGCTTCAGAAATCTGTTGACTATATAATACGGAGTTTGTTGTGACTGATTATATGTCTCTAGTCTTTGTTCTTAATTTTATGGTAGAACAATCTTGGTGCTAAATTGGACAAAGGACAAACTCCAGGCACTCCAGAAACTTCTCCAGGGGCTGGCGACCTCTATTAGGATATACAAGAGGCTAAACAAACCCTGAGCACCAGTCCCAATAAAGCCCAATAACCCTAACCTCGGGTATGGAAAATTCTGGCCTTCTCCTGACTTTTTTTGGCATATGCACTAGGAAGCATTTAAGGCAGCAAAGAGGATTTCAATCTTCTCCAACGAAAAGCCTGGTGACATGAACAGAAGGGATTAGCACCTTCAAACACCCATCTACTTTACTGATCCTAGGTATACATGGGTTTACCATCATACCATGCAGAGAAAAGAAAAAAAAACTCTAATTTCATACCAAATTGATGTTTTCACATCAAATAATCCAAATAAAAATTGATATAAGTGATGAAATCAAGAGAGAGTTGCAGCAAAGTAGAGAGAGAAGAAAAAAGAAGAGGAAGATTGGCAAATGAACATCCAACCATTGGTTTCTATTTGAGGTCCCATAAACGTTTTATAATAATTTCTCTAAGTTCCCTCTTAACTCTTATCTCTTAAGAGGAATCTTACAATTTTAAGAGGAAAATGGGTGTTTGTTTCCCCTTATCTCTTATCTCTTAAACATACAACCTTTTGTTTTCCAATGATACCCCCAAAATTCAAACAAAAATTCTCCTATATGAGGTTAAAATGGATACTTGACAATTTTTAGAATTCAGAATTCAGAATTTAGGATTTAGAACAACATTCTCTTCTTTCATAGTTCAGAGGAAAGAAAAGTTCACTAATACCAATATACCTCTTAATGTAATTATTGCACTTTTAGATGTCAGGCGTTAGAGCAAACAAACAGGGCCTAACTGAAAAATTACAATTACAATTCTGCCTTTAATAAGTTGAGTGGGACAAAAATTAAATAACTAAAGAAATAACGAGGCCCAGCCCGATAAGAAATAGACAATGTGTAAGGGCATGGACACGCCCAACGCTATTGGTTTACCAAGGTGCCCTGTCCTGGATATGGGAAACCCTTGCCTAGGTTCTGAAAAAACCTGCTAAGCTACCTCCTTAGCATTCAGCATATGTTAATATAAATAGAAAGACAAGTCTCAAGATGGTGACACGTGGTGGACTGCGTGTGAGACCAGGAAAAGCATGTTGTTCAGTACTTGACCTCCCCCATGTCCTTGTCCGTACCCATTTGTGCTGAGCTGGCATAACTAACTGATCTGCTTTCTGACAAAAGAAGCCTTGCATCACAAATGATCTGCATGACAACCTTTTTTATATAAAGGGGTGACAGAACACCCCATGGGAGACATTTAGACATTCATCAGTTCCATCGACCTTGTTCTCCTCATCTCGGTGTACACCATCTTCCTCTTCAAGAAACTGTAACTTTCCAGTCTGCAACTTCCTTTCAGTTTTCTCGCAGAACTTCCTGATTCCACTGCTTTCCCCTCCAGAGTTCCAGAGACCTCCATTCCTTGCTCCCAGCAGCCCTAGGTCCCATCACAATGGTGTTCTTGTTCCAACTTTCAGAAATCCAACCACTGCCTCACCACCGTTTAAGGCAATTAAACAACATTTTAGTTTCATCTATCAACATACATGAATCCTATTTCACCAGAATCAATGAACCATAATCCTGTGATTCTAGGATTCTGATTAAACTGAACTACTGTTAGGAGTTAATTTAGTGAACCATAAGTTAAGCCCCATTATTGTGCATGGCATGATCTGTATGATATCTCAGAAGATCAGGACATTCTGGTTCAAGATCTATTCTTCTTTGTGTACCTTTCTCTATAAAACCCAGACAGCTTATGCTTGATTACATTAAGGAGGCGTTCTTTTTTTGGATTTTGAGAGGGGGGAAAGCTGGTCAATGGGATTTTGGTTTCCACTGACCAAGAATCCCATGTTCATTTTTCAGATTAATGTGGGGACCAGGGAAGGTTTATTTTCCAAGGTACCACTTACTCAGGTAAGTGATACCCATCTCCTAGGTGGATAAATAACTTTCCCACCTAGGAGGAAAGTTGCTAACACTTGAATGGGATGAAAATGTCCCTTTTAATAATGCATTTTTATGACTAAAATGGTCATTACCTTATTTATCTGAGAAATAAAAGAGCATGGGTAAATGCACTTACCCAGGTAAGTGTTTCCCTGGAAAAACTTACCTAGATAATTGCATTAACCCGTGTAAGTAACTTACTGAAAAGCGAACAAGGCCTAAGTTGAAGAGGTTGCCTTTAGCCTTTGTATATGTATGTATGTTTGTGCAATTGCTCTTTGGTTTTGTCATCAATGTATTTTCCTTTTCTGGTTTATTGTTCTTAATCTTATTTTTTTTTATAATGTAGTACTTCAGGTCAATATACTGGTTACTTTTTAAGCATGTGGATCTGGGTACATGAAGCCTGTTTCACCATATCCAGTGAATCATATTCTCAAGATTCAATGATTCTAATTAAACTGAATTACAGTAAAGAGGTAATTTAGTAAACTATAACTATTGAGTCCCATATTGTGCATGAGCTGTACGATATCTTCAAAGAATAAGACATTCTGGATCAAGATCTATTCTTCTTTGTATACCTTTATGGATAGGCTCTGTAAAACCCAGACAGCCTGTACTCAACCACATTAAGTTGAAGAGGTTGCCTTTAACCTATGTGTAACGTGTGTGTTTGTACAATTGCTTGTGGGTTTTGGTTTTATCTCAATATATTTCCCTTTGCTGGTTTCTTAATCTTATTTTAAATTGCTAGGTGTTGGTATGTTTTTGTTAGAGAAAGTAGATTGAGATGGTTTAGTCACGTGCATAGAAGACCATCTACAGAACTTGTTAGAAAAAGTGATCTGTTACAAGTTGAATGGGTTAGAAGAGCTAGGGACAGACTGAAAAGGACTTGGATGGGAAGTACTAAGAAATGATTTAAGCACCTATAATTTAACAATGGATGTGGCATTGAACAGAATGGAATGGGGAAACAGGATTCATATAGCCGACCACATATAGATGGGACAAGGCTTAAATGATGATGATGAGGTGGGGTAAGTGTTGGTTGACTTCTAAACTTGAGTGTAGGGTCATTCATCAGCTTTGGATAATACATCTATAATCCCACTTTTTGTTTAATATAATTTGTCTTGCATTGACAGATTTTCTAGTAAAGATGGAAGGAAATGGCTCTGCCTAGATATTGAGATACAGAGACTGGCTATTCGCTCAATCTCTGCCTTCATTGATTGTATTTCTATAGAAACATCACAACATCCACTAGTAAAGGTACTTCATTGTATCCACAGAGAATCACTGAAAATAAATAAATGGCAGGTTTGATCACATTGATCATACTAAATATTAATTTGTATGGGCAAAGCTTAATGGTTTCTGGTGCTTCAGATTTTCTTCTTTGCATGGAAATGCAATTTTTATTTGTATTTTGTTAGAATTAGCTGGCAGGGGCATACTTGTCTTTTTATAGTTGTTATTTCTTTTTGATAGACTTTCTTTAGTTGTTATTTTCTCTTATATATCTGTTTTACTTATCAAGGGGCATTGTTGTTTAGTAAATGTTAATACATATTGGGTTGACATTAAGGAGAGTTTGGTTCGACTTCTCCTTGTTTGTTTACCCTTCTTATTTTTTTTATCTTTTCTTTTCACTTTATTTCACTTTTCTGAAGTTGGCACGTGGTGTTAGAGCAATAAAATCAACTGTAATTGTTCACGTCTCTCTTCTTTGTGCCCTAGGAATATTCTCTATTCTTTGTAGGAAGGAATGGACTCAAGAGGACTGATCACTCCTTTGGAAAAGAGGCTTTAATACCTCAGGTTGTAGTGTTTTGTGAGTTGGTGGTGGTTTTCTTAGGTCCTTTTTCTATGGTGTCTCGATTTGTGTGGTGAGTGATGCTCAATGTGTGGTGATTTTGTGGTGGTTTGTGGTGTGGTGACATCTTGTGGTAAGTATGTGATGTTTCCCTAGTGTTAAGTAGAAGTATGGTGATTCTTGGTGTTTGTTTTTTTTTTTTTCTAAGAGAAAAGAGTGCAACAATAGGTGTATACCAGCTGTTTGAAAGTTTGCGTAAGTGATAAACCAGTAATTTTTTCTCACACTCATGGCTTCATCAAGTGGTAACACTAAACCTACTGTAGTTATGCTAGTAGAACTCTGAAACCGACATAAAAGAATTACTCTCATATGGAGCAACAGTGTTTAGTGTTAGTTTTCGCTACACAGAAGTTCAGACACTACATCTTAGGCCAGAAAGTGAAGTTGATCGCAAGAAGCGATCCAATTAAATACTTCATAGACATACCCCCCACTCTTAGGGAGACTTGTAAAATGGATGATGCAGTTAAATAAGTACAACATTGAGTACACCTAGCCAAAGGCAATCAAATGCCAAGCTGTTGTAGACCTCCAAGCTGCCTTTCCAACCAACGACAATTTTCCCATCTTTGAAAAGGTACTCGGAGAACATTCATAAAAAAAAAATGTACTCGGAGAACTCCCCATCATAGCAGTAGTAGAAGATGGAGAATAGACCTTGACATTCGACGGGAGTAGCACAAACTCCTCCGTAGGAGACGGAGTTACATTGACTTCACTTGCCGAAGATACTTCAACTTATTCATTTAAATTACAGTTCCCCTGCTCACATAACATTGCCAAGTATGAGGAGCCATCTTCTTTACCTGTACACTAGTAATCGGAACTGTGACCACAACAGCAAGAGGGACCAGAACTACTGACTGCACCGGCTCCGTATCTGCTTTCTCCCCAACCTCAGACGAAGGATCTGGGAGATCCTAGGCATCACCCTCAACAGATTGCTCCTGTGCCTAGGGCGCGGGGACGTCAGAAACGGGCACTAAATAATCAATTGGCCCCTGTACTGTTGGCCAAAAAGATCGAGGCACCTTGTTTTCCTGCGCCTCTTCTGGGGAGTGGGACATCTGCTCTCCCCTTCAACAGTAAGGCGCTTACCCTTACAGTCAGCACCCAAGACCCCCTGCTTCCCCACAGCAACCTGAACCACCCGAGGGGCATCAGATTGAGAAAAGGCCTCTTCCTCCTGCTCAATTGCATGACCTGATGGCTGGGCCATCACATGACGAGGGTGGGGATCAGCAACCATGAATAGTTGCATCTCGCAAAAAAGGGAACACAAATAACTAAGGCGGACAGATTTACAAACTTCAACTCTCTTGAAATCAGCTAGAGGGAAGTGTGAAATACTAGGAAAGTGAGGAAACACCAAACCGTTCCGACGAGTCCAGAAGACATCTTCACCTCCCGATTGCAAAAATTGCGAACCCATGTCTCGTCATAACCAAATTGGCGGAGAAGACAGTCAGGACGATAGGCTGCCACTTGTGCCTCTCTGGCACAATCAAGATAAGCAAGAACCCTGGGCTAGAGAATAAGGCGTGCGATGCGAGCGAGAGCATGGTTGGCATCGACGACACACTGCTAATCACCGTCTTCGGGGACATTAACCCCAACATAGAATGGCATAGAATGACGGATGAGCCGAGCTTACAGTCGCAGAACAAAGCCTTCGTGAGAAGATAGCTTCAACTCAATTTTAGCAACACCAAACTGCTTTCCCCTCTTGGCACCGAGCCACCGTTTCCCACGACAAACATCCAGAGTTGCATCTTCAGTTTGATCCCCATCCAGGGTTGCCATTGGTGACAGTCAGAGGAAACAATCGACGAGGCATGACACTAAGCGGGAAACTCTCACAGATGAACATAAACAAAAAAGGGGCAAAGACGTACGAACACCGACACTTACAAGTTGGATCCATTATCTGATGCACAGTGTTGTCCATTTGGTCAAAGAGATAACCCAAGAACATAGATGCCAATGACAACTGATGACCACCGGCTGCAAGAACAAAAAGGGGAACCAACACCGTCCGGAGGTTGTAGTCTGGATTACTGGGAAATAAGAACTGAGACACAACATATAGAATGAAGGATGCAAGATGACACTGACTATCCCCCTTTTGAACCATGATGTCGTCTGTGCCCTTGCTCTCGAACCAATATGCAATCCACGCTTCCAAGGGCCATTTCCCACGATCCGTAGACTTGTCGATCTGGCATTTGAAAATACGGATCTCCTCTGACAGCTCTAAATACAATTTAGATAGGCTGCCGGGGATAGACTCTACATATTGAAGAGGTTGGGAAGACATGGCTCCTCCCAACGGAAGAGCAGCAACATCTTCGATGGTGATGCCGAACTCACCGAAAGCACCAATGAACGTGTGAATACGGCAGCACCAATGAGAAAGGAGAGGCTTCATGTAACTAACCCCTTCCTTGCCCAGAAGGTCCATGGAACAATTGACGAAGTGAAGAAGTCCGGCGCTACGAAGCAATCGACAGAACATCGGGTTGTCTAGTATATAACGCACCTAATCTAAATAGTTCATTGGTGACTTTGAATCATCTATCCTTGGTTCATGACACCAGTGTCAGTTCGAGAAAGAGAGAGAGCAGAGAGAAAGATAAAAGTCCAGATCTGCTAGGGTTGATCAGTTTGATCGAACCAACCCAAAAAAGATGTTTATATATTAAACTTATGTGAATGGACAAGATTGTCCTTACAAAGAGAATAAAAAGAATCTGTACACTAAATTACACACCTATTAAAGTACAAGAAAGAAAAAATAAAGTATAATTACAAAACTACCCTTTAGTAGTTCTTCTACACTCCCCTCAAATTGATGTTGGGCTAGAAGCATTAGTTTGTCAACAAGGAAATTGTGTCGGGCTTTGGTCATGGCTTTGGTGAAGAGATCCGCAAGCTATAGACCCGATGAAACATGTGGGAGAGAGATGTGACACACGTGAAGGAGGTCACGGATGAAGTGAAAATCCACTTCAATATGTTTAGTTCTCATGAAATATAGGGTTGGTTGCAATCTTGATGGCACTCATGTTGTCCGCAAATAGAGGAATAGCAGATGAATGATCAATATTCATGTCATGGAGTGCCTTAAGCCAGATTATTTCACTGCAGACTAAAGACATGGCTCTGTACTCGGCTTCAGTAGATGACTTGGAAACCGTTTGTTGTTTCTTGCATTTCCAAGAAATCAGAGAATCACCAAGGAATATACACCAGCCAGTAGTAGAGCGACGAGTGTCAGGACAACCGGCCCAATCAGCATTTGCATAAGCTCGGAGCTGTGTAGATGAAGAAGATGAGAAAAATAGGCCATATGATAGTGTACTCCGTACATAACGAATAATTCGGAGAACTGCCGAATAGTGAGGTGACGGGGAGCTGAAACAAACTGACTCACAATCTGAACCGCATAGGAGATGTCAGGTCTAGTCATGGTTAGGTAGATAAGGCTACCTACAAGTTGTCTATACAGGGTAGCATCAGGAAGAAGATCACCCTCATTTTTACTCAACTTACAGTTAAGCTCCAGAGGAGTATCCACATGTTTAGAATCAGTCA